GTCATCAGTATTGGTATTAGCGGCCTGCTCCGTCTTGCCAAATTAATCACCTCTTTGTTTTTGACCTCTTGTGCCATCAACTCGACGATGATTTTTGCCTTCATGTGCCTTTATGGATTACTGAACATGTTTCACTAGAATTGGCTGGAATGGTTGGCTAAGATGGGGATGATGCATAGACCATTAACTGGAGAGCAGATGCTTAAAATTCTGATATGAGAAGTGTGATATATTCACTAGAATTGGCTGGAATGGTTGGCTAAGATGGGGATGATGCATAGACCATTAACAACAATCACAGGACCAGGAAAGATTTGGACTATGTTCCTCCCACACTGTTCGCGCACACACACTGCTATTGTAGTGCATATATTTGCAGTAAACATAGGTTTCCAGCTTGTTGATATAAAAGGCATATTATTGGCACTAAGAGTTAGTTTACTTGGACTGAATTTCAAGAAACTACTTTTGCTTGCTTTTTAAGATATTACAAAAACTTAACTCTGCTCCAGAAGCACATGACCCGCTGAGTGGATTTACCTTACATTAAATTCCAAAAAACTACCACGATTAGAACTACCATGAAATTATGGATGCTTTTTTAGAAACTACACAGATATGCATAATTCCTGCAGACTTAATAAATTCCCTGAAACTACCGTGATTAAATTTTAAGAACCTTCCATGTCTTCTTCACTTCTTTTTACAAAACTATCAACTTTGTACTTATCTGAAGAAAAAGTTTAAGGTAGCTTTATGAAAAATAAGTAAAAGCTATCATCGTAGTTTCTTGAAATCTAGCCTTTTATCTTATCTTATACTTCGAGTTTGGTTTTATTGGTTTCGATATCGAGAGCCTTGTTGATTTTTACAGCTTCTGGTCAGATGTATCAATACATGCAATAAGTCAAATTAATCATGAACTTTCTATTCATTAGTTTTTAAGTTTATATGTATACAATAATACAATATCAAATAAACTTTTGGTGAACCGAAGCCCAGACTTCCTCCTAATATCACCAATTATTAGCCAATCCTTGTGTTATTAATAATTATTAAGTATTAACCGCTGTTGTTATTGCTCGGTTTTGACTGAACTGGAGAGCAGATGCTTAAAATCCTGATATGAGAACTGTGATATATATTGATATTGGCTGATACTTTAAACCATGATTCAAACCTTACATTCTGAATTTTCAGTTTGATATTTGCTTTAATTTTGCTTCAACGGGATGGTTTTTGTTGCTGCATCCTGTGGATTGCATTTATTTTTGTGTAAACCAATATCTTATTCTGATTGTTTCCAATGTCTCTTGCAGCCGCTTAGCGGACCCATTAACAACTGACCTGCGAAATATGAACTCCTTAGCAAAGGTTGGTGTCTTGGAATCCATTACACTTACATAGTAAAAAAAAAGTCTTTAATTTAATGATCTGGTTGAATGCTCTTCACATTTTTTTGAATGTTAAAACAGATCATGAGACAAAGGCGTATCGACAGAGGAGCACTTACACTTGCTTCAGCATAAGTTAAATTTCAAATTGATACTGAAACTCATGATCCTTTAGATATTGGTTAGTAGTTGAATTTATAGAAGGTTTTAATTCATAGTAGAGGTAAGAGGATTCAGGATTGAGGTTAACTATTCATTTATTGGCAGGAATGTATCAGATCCGGGAGGCAAATCAAATGATTGAGGAGTTTATGCTTGCTGCTAATATTTCTGTTGCAGAAAAGATCTTAAAACACTTTCCTTTGTGCTCCTTGTTGAGGTATGCCCGGATATCTTTTTGGTAACGCTTCTCTTGGCGAATGAACCAACATAGATAAGATAGTAGTAGCTTCTATTTGACAAGCTAAAATTAGATTGATTTATGTTCTTGTATGTTGTTGTTTACTTTTGATGTGGAATCAGGCGTCATCCTTCTCCAACAAAAGAGATGCTTGAACCGTTGCTGCGTACAGCTGCTGCTGTTGGCTTAGATCTGGATATTTCATCTTCTAAAGCACTAGCTGATTCGCTTGACCGTGCAGTGGTGAGGATTCATTCCATCTTCCACCAACCCCCACCCACCCACACCCACACTCACACACTTCAATTTTTTCCTTTTGCTAAGCTTCTGCAGTGGTCCTGGTAAGTTCTTTTTTTTAAGTTCTGCGTAGTGCTCTGTTGTGCGGTTGATAATATGATGTTAGGCCTTTTTTAAATAAAGCTGGAATGTTGTTATTTTGCTGCCCAGGGTACTCATGATGTTTATTTGTCTCTAACTGTAGGGTGAGGATCCATACTTTAATAAGCTGATCAGGATTTTGGCTACTAGGTGCATGACACAGGTATAATTTCATTTGTGAGGACTTTGATAAAGATACTATAGTTACGATCATGTAGTCTCTAAGTTTGATACTTGGATCATGATGTGCGTAGGCAGTCTATTTCTCTAGTGGAGATTTGAGCTTATCAGAATTTTACCATTATGGACTTGCTACACCTCTCTATACTCATTTCACTTCTCCTATTCGGCGGTATGCAGGTAAGTGTGTTTTCTCCTCACTGATAAGTAATTCCTTTGTCCATGAGTACATATGTCATATCATATATCACTATGCTTCTGAGTGAATGAAGTCAGTAAGTGGTTTACTCTACGTGACTGAGTAACAATGGTGCAGTTTTATGCAACTATATGCAAGAAGAAAAAACCTTGCTATCAGACATACATTATCAATCTAGTTGATGCAGTCTGAGGCCATGCAGCTATGGGCAACTTTCGGTGCTACCTAGACTGTTCACATTTTAGTTTGAAGTATAAGATACGCACAACTATGCAGCTGTAGTTAAGTCTTAGTCTGGGAAGTCAGCGAGAAAGGATTGGCCTTTTACAGGTGGTGGGTCTTAAATGGGTTAATGAGATCGACTCTCTTAACAGACAACTCAGATTCAGTATAGTCATTACCTGCGTGACCAGAAAAGACCTGGTTAAATAGATTGATATTTACTTTTTTTTACTTGATGTTGGTCGTTCTTCACATGTTCAAGTTGAGTTCTCGAAGTTTTTTAGCTTGCAACTTAAAAATGAATAAAATTACACCACCTCAACTTCAAACTTGTGATTATCTAGTTGGATAGACTATGGAAAGTTACTTTTTTTATTCTGTTGTTTGGAATCCTTTGTTTTGCATTTTTATGATATCATTTTAGAAATCAAATCTGACCTGTTGAGAAACTAGTTAGTTCAGGTGATAAGAGTTGCATGCTTGTCAGTTATGGGTATTGCGATTTGACCTGTTCATTAAACGGATTGAATTTTGGTCAATTATAATAGGGTCAGAAAATTTGACCTGTCCTGAAAACGACCAATTCCCGCCCTATTCTGAACCTGTCCAGTGACACGTTGAAATTATAATGTTATCGACATCTCATGGAGCTTCTAACTGCAAAACAGGAAGCCCGTATTTAAAAAAAACAGCCTCC